ACAGTCCCACCTGCTCCAGGAACTAAGAGCCGTTAATTGGTTTTATTTAGAGATCTAAAGACTTGGCCATGACAGACTACAGAGAATGAATTTTTTAGACCCCCAGTAGTTCTTCATGATCACATTGGAAAAGGGATAGCGATAAGAGGTGATCCCCTATGGCTATGTTCTGGCACAGGATTACGGTTTCCCTGCCATAAATCTCATCTGAAAGAATAATTTAGTGCCATGCCCCTGGCAAGATTAAACTACAGCCGGCTCAGCAACTTCTGTAGAATGGGGAGATGACCCAGCAAATCAGAACGTCCCTCTCTGACTCTTTATCCATACATCTGAATCTTTGTGGTATCGACTACAGTAAAGCAAATGCCACTCAGTGAGATATAAAAATATCAAAGCTAGCAGGGTCTTGTCCTGTATTAAAAAGGGGATGTATTGCAGGGACAAGTCTATAATTTTGCCACTTTATAGATCATTGGTTCGACCTCATCTGGAGTACGCGGTCCAGTTCTGGTCACCAGTACTAAGAAAAGATGTCCTTGAGTTGGAAAAAGTCCAGCGAAGGGCAACCAAACTAATTAGGGGTATGGAGGACCAGAGCTACGAGACGAGGCTACTAAATTTAAACATGTTCACATTAGAGGTGAGGAGATTAAGGGGGGATATGATTTCCATGTACAAAATGTTTAATGGTGGCAGCAACATTAGCGATAAACTGTTTAAAATTAACTCAGTTACAAAAACTAGAGGTCACCACCTAAAATTGGTGGAAAAAAAATTCCAGCACAAGGGGCGAAGGGGGTTCTTCACAGTAAGATCAGTTAGTGTCCGGAACTCACTGCCACAGGCGGCGATCTCAGCAAAGAATGTGGAATTGTTCAAGAAACTTTTGGACGATTTCTTAAGGGACCGTAATATACAGGTGTACGGGTACTCCTAGAATGAGATCCTAATAGGTTGGACTTGATGGACTAATGTCTTTATTCAACCTCAAATACTATGTAACTATGTAACTATGTCTCCACCCCCATACCAATCTTGTTTGGGTATCTGGAAGTTTTTAGGATTCTACATATAAAAGTAAAGAAATATGGAATTACAATTTATTTTGCTAAAAAGTTTAAATCGCAACCCTCAGCTGGGAGGGAAATGAAATAAAGGAGCTCTGCGGACTGACCTGGCGTATACTACAAAGGGCACAGCGATCTTTAAAATATATGGCCATGGCCTTTTGAGACAACACTAGTCAAACCAGTCACAGGTTTCTGTAAGCCCTGGTGGACACCTAGGTTTTTTTGAGCAGTTCGAAAAGCACTTTTAACTACCCAACACAAGAAATCCCGTGATTTTCAATGGCCCTAGTTTACACTTCAGCAGAAAAACGCCAGACGCCTGAAAAGATACAAGAGCTTCTTTGGGCTTTTCCTCCCCATAGACTTAAAAGGAGAACTGCTTTTCACTCACCTCATAGTTCTAGCCGACCTGTGACAATGAGACTGTCACAGGTCGGATCAGTAGATCGGGAGGTGAGCGAACACATACCGGCGTTCACTCACCTCTCGATCCTGTCACGGCTCTCTGCCGTGACAGGGGAGGGACTGGATTCCCCCCTCCCTGCTCCGATCCGCCAGCTCTGACTTTGCCCTGCTGCTTGATACAGCCCAATTGCTCATTACGCTCTTGTTTATATTATCTTTGCGCTTGTATCATTTGGTCAAATGTAATCAAATCTTTGACAGGGAAAAAGAGAATTATGGAAAATCAATTTCAAGATTAAACCGGCAAGCATGACATTTTTTTCATCCAGTCCCTCTTATAGAAATCGGTCTTGTTATTTTATATTAAAATAATGAAAGTAAATTAATTTAATATAATTCTATTAAAATGTTATATTAAAATAATTAAAGACTTGATTATTTTTGGCAATGCCCAAATTGCTTGCCCTGCTGGGACATGCAGGTATGAGTGGTCTCTGTTTAGGGCCCAGCCACACCACACATTTAGTTGTTCTAAAGCGCTGGCAGTCTATCAACGTACAAGACAGTCTATCGATACTCATATTGGGGAGTACCACCATGCCTAGTAGCGCATATACGTACCAAAAAGAGGTAGAAAAAAAAAATAAGCTATATGTTAGGTAATATAACAATAATCTTAACTAACTACTAAGTATTTGAAAATATTTTTATAAATATTCTTTAATTTCCATTAAAACTAGCAAAAATTAAAAATTACAGGCTGGTATTATAATAGTGTACAATACCTCCCCCCAGTTCTCCATTATAAAGATGCTAGCACAAAATCAGAGCAATATTCCATCACAACAGTCTCAGTATTACTCTACTGATGGAGCAACTGAATACTCTCAACACGTTTCATGAGCTTAGTAGGCCACTTCATCAGGGATTATAGAGGATATAGTACTTTTGTCTCTATTGTATACAACATGGCTGGAAAAATCCCAGGAAAATTCTCCTGGCTCCTGGATTGGACAGACTGGCTTCTGAATTCCATTTGTCAATTGTGCACCCCTGGTGTACAAGAATAACCAGTCACCATTGAAAACAATTATGCCAACTGTGCATGCGTCAGTCTCTCTGCAATGAGAAAGGGAAGAAGACCACAGGAGATGATCGCCTCCTCCTAAAAATTCAACTTCAATCAGCTCATTCCTTACCGTTATCACCTTCTGTAGAACTAGCCCCTCCATTTTAGATGGTAAAATCCTTCTAATCCTCTTGTATGGAATTGCTTTGTAACCGTACGGTGCAAATGTTGGAGCAATATAAATCCTGTATTATAATATTAATAATCGACTATGTAATGACCAATATTTGTCCCGTAATAAGCAGCTGGAACCTCCCGAGTGTCTAGTCTTTTATCTACCACACTCAGTGGTTGGTGTACTATGTATTCAAATGAAGAGGTTCTGGGACCGTCAATTAGAGTTCCCCAATATATGTTCAATATCCCTTATCCGGTCACTTCTATCACAAAGAGGAAAAGGAAAAAATCTGGAACTTCGTCTATGTTCCCAATGCGCCATGTCCAATTCAACTACTGTATCCTTCTGATCAGAGTTGTACCCCATGCGTCTCCCCCATAGTGAGAATACATTTGGTTCAGTTAATCTTTCCATATAATGGAGTTTATCCATGCACTTATGTAGGGATGTTCAGATACCAGTGCCGACACTTGGCATTTTCACAAGGACTACCAGGGTTGCAGAAGTTGCAGCTGGGACCCGGCTCTGGCTCTCCACCACTGTCCTGAATTGATTAGTCAGTTTTGTTTGAAAAACTGTCACATGACACTAAACAAAAATCTATCAGTACTTGTATCTGTGAGGACTTGGACAAGTATCAGTACTTGTAAAAATGGTATCGGTGCATCCCTTATATTTCTTTTAAAAAAAATATCATACATTAAAACAGAGATGTACAAATACCAGGAGCTCCGTGTGCTCCTTTAAACTGACAGCTGCCTCCTAACTTTTGAGTTTTTCTCTAGTCTAGTCTTGTAGCTGGAATAGTATCTGTACTTGTACCGAATACGGTACTTGGTATCTGAACATCCCTACACCTATGTAGTTTAGTTGCCATTCCCTGCATTATTTCCAGGTCTGCAACGTTCTATTTGAGAACAGGAGCCCAAAATTAAAGATGAGGTCTTACCTACGCTTTGTGCATGGGCATATGTCCCTCTCTCGTCTAAGCTTCTTTCATGATAAGAAAGTATTCCGCCATAGTCCCTCTCCCTGTTATACGTAAGCTAGTATTTTAGAAGGAAACAATGTTCAATGCAGAGATGGATTCTGTAGCAAACCCCTCAGCACATAGTCGGTCACACAATGGGTTAACTTATCTCTTCCAATATGCGCAGAATCTCACTCCACACACACAATACGCCTAACATTTCCCTTCTCTGGGAAAAGAAAAAAAAAAAAGGCCTCGGCAATGAGTCGTTTTTCACTGAGCAATAATAAAATGCCAGCCTGCTCGGCTGGGCTACTGTATTAGGAACTCAATTACTGTAAATCTTCCAATAACTGGTCACGTTTTCAGGTTGCATATAAAATAAATTTGCGGGTGAGCTGGCTTTTCCGTTCTGTGCAAAGTGCATCTAAAGAAAGATCTGCGATCTGTTGGGAGGACAATGATTTTTCTGGGTTAGTGCACCCAAACTGAGTGCGGTTGTATGTAGATGCTGAAGTGTTATAGCACCTAACAGTATAGTAGATCTTGCTGGAATTTCAGTGAAAAGATCCCACATTGTGAGTTACCAGTGTCGATCTCCTGGGTCCCCCTCAGCTATCATTGGTTCCTCCTGCTGACCTCCATGTCACTATTGTATCCTGCAATGGGTGGAGGTCAGAGGGAGGAACCAGAGAGAGCTACGGGTGACCCAGGAGATGGACACTGCAGGAAATGTCAGCATCATTTCAGACTTCAGCAGATGATTTCTCAGCAATAGATCATGGTTCGGAGGGGCAGACAGCAGGAAAGGCAAATATGTACACTATCATTGTAACATAGTATTTGAGGTTGAATAAAAACACAGGTTCATCAAGTCCAACCTATTGCGTGTATGCATGTGCATCTACATGTGTATCTTATTCTCATGTGTACCTGTACCCCTGTATGTTTTACGGTCCCTAAAGAAATCTTCCAAAAATTTTTTAACGATTCCACTCACAGCCGAAATCACTGCTTGTGGCAGCGAGTTCCAGAACCTGACCGTTATGAGAAGAACCCCCTACGCCCCTTGTGCTGAAATCTTTTCTCCACCAATTTTAGGTGGTGGCCTCTGGTCTTTGTTTTGGAGTTTACCGTAAACAGTTTATTGCTGATGTTGCCATCCCCGTTGAACATCTTGTACATCAGAATCATATCTCCCCTTAATCTCATCACTTCCAGCGTGAACCTGTTTAAATTTAGTAACCTTGTCTCATAGCTTAAGTCCTCCATCCCCTTAATTAGTTTGGTTGCCCTTCTCTGGACTCTTTCCAGCTCAAGGACATGCTTTCTGTGGATTGGTGACCAAAACTGGACCACATACTCCAGATGAGGTCGAACCAGTGATTTATAAAGTGGCAAAATTATAGATTTGTCTCTACAATGCTTTCCCTATTTAATACAAGACAGTACTCTGCTCGCTTTGTTTTTATCCTTTCAGGGATCATGCACATGGGCCACTGGTCCTGTAAAGAATAAATTCCAGCATATTTCTCCTCCACCGTGGAGCCATGGGCACTGGATACAGCCTCCCGTAGAAGCCAGTGGCTGTACACATGTATACTCATGTTTCTGCATACAGCTACATATGGCGTAAATCCCTAAACTTTGCAGGTTATTTGCAGCTCAATGTTGCATAACAGGTCCTCTTCAAAAAGCATCCCTTTCCCACTCTTCAGCCACGCCAAACCCCCTCTGAACATGTGCCAGCTTTTTATATTGTCAGAGCAATGTGACACCTATACGGTGCAATAATAAGATATTTCCAAAGCTAAACTTTCAATGGCGCCATTAGTCAAGAAGTCAGAGGCAGTGAAATCTGAAGCGTTTTGCGGCGTTACAAACGACCGGAGGAAAAAGGAAAGGACATTTATTGCGCTAAAATATTCCGCCGCCGTATAAAACATTAAAAAAGAAAAATGACGCGAGGAGAGGCTCCAGTCACGGGAAGCTAATTTATCAGCAGGTAAAAGTATATGACGAATTTAGTTCAAGGTCTGAAGTGCTGGAGATCCGCAGATTTAAAGCTTGTATTCAGGAATGTTCTAAAGCAAAACCCATTCCCATTTATATCTCCAAAATCTATCATAAGCCGCTCTTCACAAAAGAATAAACTGCCCACTGGGAGCGCTAAGGTGAGCCCAAGAGCCATCATTAAAGCGGAACTCCGCTGAAACAGCTAAATACACCGATGAAAACACACATAAAAAGGGAGCCTTTAACCTGCCAAAGGATTTGTAGTTCCGTCGATCCAGTCCAGGAATTTACACAGCTCTGTGACACAATTCATCCCTGTCCGGCAGCACAGAAGATCTTATTTTTCTCTGCAGCTGTTAAATAACACTTGCAGGTCTTGTCCCACCCCCAGCTTGCGCCTAGAGAGTGACTGGAGAGTGAAAAGAGAAGCAGCAGACTGATGAGCTCATCTCACTCGCAGTATAATCTTTGGTGGAAGGAACAGAAATATTGTGTCATGCCCCTCCACTTCCTTCTCCACAGGAACCCTAGACAAGTGATATAGGTTGTGCAGCCTCCATGCCTCGCGTTCCGGGGTATGCACTATTTCTTGCAATCGTACCGCACTGGAATGCAGGGCATTGTATTACCACGCGGTCCTGTGCGGCCGAAAGCACTGCGGGTGGAGGGCATGTCTGCAGTGCCATTGATATGAATGGCACTGCCAAGCCCGCTCGTACCCCAGAACGCAAGGAGACTTTGTGTATGTGATCCCTTGCATTCAGGGCACAGGAGAGTGCGATGAGTGCACATGCTGGTGGAAACGAGCCCTCACTCTGCTCTCTTCTCCTATCTGTGCTATCTGCTTAAGCACAACTGATTACTCCTTGTGCAGCTTCTACCTCTCTCAGTCTGAGCTTTGCTCTACAAGTGATTGCCAAATTATGATATCAGATAAAATTCAGGTACTTACACTCCATGCATTTAAAAAGAAAATACATTGAATGAGATAGAGATATATATATATATATAATAGATATATATATTACACATACACACACACACACACACACACACACACACACACACATATATTTATGAATACAGAGCTGCATCATTTAGTGTATTTTATATCTGCCTGGAATTTTGCTTTAAATATACAGTGGCTTCCACAAAATGTGTTCAGGCCCAACATGTAAAGGGCAGGAGCTGGCTTTCTGTCATAGCTAGCTCATCACCATGATTTCATGAAGGTGCTAAAGCATTGCTGAAATCAATAATTTGGAGTGGCAGTTGTCACATGATCTTTTGCAATCATGTGACCTACTCCTGCCCTTTACATACATCCCCCCCTCTTCTGTGCGCTCCCAAGAAAAAGAGAAAGGCTGTGTTTAGCCTCACCCCTTCAGGAGTCCGCATCAGATAATCGTCATCATAATCAGCACAGTGGCTAAGTGGTTAGCACTTCTGCCATGCAACACCGGGGGTCCTGACCAGGGTTTGTAATCCAGCCAGGAGATTAGCTGCAAGGAGTTTGCATTATTCTACAGCCCAGGAACTAGGAGGGCTCTTGCGATAACACAGGAAGTGTGCAGAGGACACAGGGCAGCTCTGAATGTTTGACGAGATCAAAAGCATTTTATTTTTATTTTTAAACAGATATACCAAATGCTTCCAATGATATATTAAACAGACCAAAAGGGACAAAGAAAAAGTAGATTTTTCGGGACTCCTAGAAAGCATATCCATGTACATTTGTTATACAAAGGCTCCCCCTGGTGGTTACATGCTTTTCCAGGACAAAAACAGCCAAAGCATAGTAAATTAATCATTTCTCATACTGGGATATTTAGAGTTATTCCAATCATATTTTAACAAGCATGAAACCAGTGAAAGAAAAAAAAAAAGCACTTTACAAAAAAAAAAAGAAGTACGATTATAACTGACCTGTTTACTGTCATATTGGTTTACTTTAACCCGAGGAGGCGAGAGGTTACATAGTTACATAGTATTTGAGGTTGAATAAAGACACAGGTCCGTCGAGGTTCTATGGCAGTTGAGGGAATGAGGTGGGTGGGAAGTGCTGTGGCAGTCGAGGGTGAGGTAAGTAGGTAGGACTGAGGTAGTCTACACTGTGTTGCTGTCCTATAATGTCAATCCACCAGATAGAGTGGGTCAGGCTCCAGCACAGCGGCGGGTGTTGAGCAGACAGCCCTAACACCGGCAAGCGGACTTGAGAATGGTGCGTCTTTTCGCTGGGCACCAATTAGCTCAGGGGTGACCAACTCCGGCATCTAGCGGTGCTTTAGCTACAAATCCTAACATGCCTCTGGAAGTCATGCCTGTATGGTTGCAATGCCTCATGGGGCTTGTAGTCCACAGCAGCTGGAAGGCTGGAGTTGCCCACTCCTGGTTTAGCTAAAAGGGGAGAGTCGTTTTATTTTTGCCACTGGGGGAACAAAACCACAGTCACAAGTAACACTGTGTCTCTGTTTCCATTCTCAGACTGGCAAAGTGGAAGTAGGACTGACTCATGATATAACTTAAAGGGCCTATAAACATTCTTAAAAACTATTTAATATCTCTGTGTTCTCCCTTCTTGCTGGAATGATGGGTCATATTGGTAATCCATCTCCCCACATGGCCCTTCTTAATATTGAAGTGCAGGCATATCCAAGAGAGCTCAGAACTGTTGTTGTCCATGTTCTCATTGCTAGCCGTCTGACCATCTCCAGTCTATGGAAACAAACCGATACTGTCGGAAAATGTTTTGCCATAGTCGTGGTCAATATGATTCCTTTCTAAATAAGTGGAATTCTTGAATCCAATTTGCCTCATTACATCAAAAACTTTAGTCCTTGCCTTCTGTCCCTATTAACCTCTACGAAGTACTGGTCCTACGTTTTGTATTCTATCCCTTCTCTTTTTCCTCTTTTTTCTACCCTCTATCTACTTCCTAAATTCCTCAGGTGTCTTTCAAATAAGGGTTGATCATTTAAGAATACTAGCTTTGTTTTAACATTACATGCCACGGCCTTAGCAATATATCAGTAGTGTGTTATATTACCCTATGAGGATCTTGTATGTACCCATTATATGAGACATGCGTTCCTTCCGGTCTTGAACATTGTAATGTTTCTCATATTCCCTGTCTCTTAATACGTATGTACCATGTGGCACCTAAATGCTTCTCGTTTCCTTCTTGTTAAAATGAATAAAAATGATTGAAAATAAAATATTATTTCAAATCTGTCAAAGGCCATTCTCATTACTATTTTCCATTGGCTCAGTCAAACAGCTCATGAAGCTATAGTGGACCTTATGTATGACAAATGTCTTAAGGACAGAAACTGTCTATTAACATGGTTCTGTAGACCCTCGGTTCTCAACTGGTGGGTCGCGACCCCGTGTTCAGTGGGTCGCCGCATGCCTTCCACTTTTCTAGGTGAGTGGCTTCTCAACCTCCCCCCTAGCGCAGCACTGTTAGTTCTTGCCCCAAGCAGCCATTTAAAATATGCTGCCCTGTGCCGCGTGTCAGCTTAAGGTGGGGTGGGCCACGAGGGAGCTCCAGCCATACGAGCATTGCTTACAGCTCCCTTGCATGTGCTGTGGTGTCTGGACCGGAGTGACGTCGCATTCTGACTCTCGGCACCTCTACAGGGCATGCAAAGGAGCTGTACAAGCAATGCACATATGGTTGAGAATGTCTGTGAGTGTGTGAGATTGTGTCTGAGTGTGCGAGATTGTGTCTGTGGTTATGTGTGTGTCAGTGTTTTTGAGGGCTCATTCACACTAGTGCAGTGCGTTAATCGAACAGTCCCGTGCAATTATTGCACTGTACCATGCAATCGCATCTACTACGCGTTCTGGTGTGGGAGGTGCATTGCCATTCATTTAAATGGAACCCCAAAACGCACCTCCTGCGCACAGTTTAATCGCCCGCACCAGAATACATGGTACCACAATGCCATGCATTCCATTGCAGTGCGACTTGGGTCGTGACTTAATATAGGACAAATGTGGGTCCTGAGGTAACACAGGTTGAGAACTACTGCTGTAGACTATAGGAGCCACTGATTGATAATATTATAGTAACAATGCATGACCTAAACGTTACACTAGGGGGTGCACCAAGCTAAGCAAAAGAGTTTGCTGCATTGCCTGTTATTCCACCAATTATTGAGACATGTTTCATTCACTAAAACAGTAACAATGAACACCTAGGAGAAAATGCAGAACCCCAAAGAGCCCAATTGAAAAAAAAATAATTCTCATGCAAAACAGTTTGAGGGTAATTTTAATTGCTTAGAAACAAGGGCCATAGTTACCAATTGCTGTCATATACCTGGGACAAAAGGTGCTTGGACTTTTTGTGTCTGCAAAATTCCATGCTGAGCAACGCAGGTTACATTTGAAGCTGAACTCCAGGCAAACGGCTAAATACACTAACTGGAAATGTGTTTGTATTCGATACTTGTAATCTCTTGTACAGCAGCACTTAGGCAGAAGGAGGATGAGGCAGCACTAGGAGCCAATCCTAAGTACTACATGCACCTGTGCTGACTATAAAGATGATGACTGGAGTAGGGAGCAGAGGGAGGACTCATCAGTATTCTGGTGCTCCTTCACTTTTCAATCAGAGGCTGGCATGAAAGGTGGGGTGGGAGGCAGACGGGCAGGGATGTCGCCTAGCTGAAGATGCTGTTTCCCACGCAGAAAAACTGCCTCGCAACATCTCAAGAGACAGTAGGTGGCTGATCCCTACATTATATTTATACATTAGGGATGCACCGATACCGAGTACTCGTAGTAGCCCAAATGCTCCGATGCCTAGCCCGATACGTCCGGTATCAGGAAGCCAGGCAGCGTGTAATGACACACTGCCCGACTTCCTGATTAGTCGGAAGCTGGCCAATCAGGAAGCCAGGCAACGTGTAATGACACAGGCGCCCGGCTTTCCGATTGGTCGGGAAGCCGGCTTCATGCTCCCTCATGACGAGGGAGCATAGAGCCAGCTTCCCGGCCAATCGTGAAGCCCGGGCGCCGCGTGAATGGCCAGAAAGCCGGTTCCATGCTTATTCGTCACCTAGTGGCGAGAAGCATGGGGACGGCTTCCCTACTAATCAGGAAGCCAGGTGGCGAGTCATTACACACCGCCTGGCTTCTGGTACTCAGTATTGGCGAGTACCGGAAAAAAATATTGGTACTTGATACCGAAATAGCAGTATCAGTGCATCCCTAATATATATTATATATGCTACCCCCTCCTAGCCCCTTAACCTAATCTAAGTTAAAACTCCTCCACCAAGGTACCTTCTTGGCTCTTTCAGATGGTGGCATCCTCCTATAGTATTTACAGCGCCGCTGCAGAGATCTTGGCCCATGACTGCACAGTAAATTTCCATTTACTTGATGGGGCCTTACCCATACCATTGAAGTAAGGCCCAATTAAGGTCTATGGGAAGTTATAGCTCAGACACAGACAGCTCGAGTCAAGATTTCTGCAGCAAAACAGTAAATCCTCCAAGGGGTCTCCACCATCGGAAAGAGGCATGCAAGCACCTGGGTGAGGGAATCTTAGCTTAGAACAGGTTAGGGGGCTGGGGAGTTTGTATTTGGACAGTATTCTGCATAAAAATGGAGCAAAGTCACGCAAATACATTGTTTAATTTGAAAGATGAAACCTCAAGTGGCTGATTTTGCCAACAGCTCCACATTTTCTCAATTTCTGATAAATCATCTCGGTGACCTATAAGGAAAATACCTTTTCTCAGTCGTCTCTGGATGAGTTTTCAGTATCACGCCATCCTCTGTGATTTCTACTTTCCGGACGCTGCCAAAGAAGTCGGTGATGAGAACAGACTGCGGGTCCCTCTGAAAGAGGTCAGTGCGATGGCCTGGGGTGGACACACACAGGCTCTTTGGACACACCTGAAACTGAAAACAGAAATGGGTATTTAAACCGGCGCTCCTGAACAAGATTCCACTCATCAATACCCCCAATGGTGACAGAGTGCAAACTGTGAGAAATTTAGTCCGGACTTTACAAATCAGAGCACCGGGTCAGTAGGAGAAAAAGCCAATTTAGTAGACCAGTAAACTCAAAGGAACACACCAGTCATACTAAATTTACACTACAGTCATATCAAATGAACAATTAAACATATAGAAATCCATACAAAAAGGACATATTTGACTTGTGCAAGTGTTTTGCTTTTTATTCTGTACATGCTGGAACACAACAGACCACCCGACTAAAATCCTCTTGCTATGTAGGTGCACAAATTGTGAGCTTACCCTCTCCCGGAACTTTTAGAGAACCATATACGACTTTGTGGTGCTGCCTACTTGGCATTGCACAAACTCCTGCTAGCTGAACCTCTCACCTCCAGTGTGTGCACTTCACTGGCTCCATTCTTTCCAATAAAAAGCCCGTAAGTGGCATTTGCCGCAACACCAGTTTCAAAAAAAAATTTGATTGAAGCTTCAGAGCCTGGAGCTTTGGGTGAGTCTAATTTTGTTGTTTTACTACCTAGACACAAATGAGCAGTTAACCCTTGCAGTCGGGGGGTAGACCCACTGCAAGCGTTAGAGAAAAATCCTGGGAGGTAATACTGAATGGTATGGTCAAAGAATTGGGTTGTTTTTTTTTCTTATTCCTACAGGGCTATTCACAATAGGGTGGAGAGTTAGGAGAAGGCAGGAGAAGGGAACAATCTAGGACAACACAGCAGAACTGGAAAAATTCTCCAATTCTGCTCACTTTCCAGTTCAGCTATGTTGTCCTAGATTGTTCACTTCTCCTGCCTTCTCCAAACTCTTCACCCTTTTGTGAATAACCCTGCTAGTCTGGTTTTGAAAACTCGTTGGTCTATTTGAGAAGTTCTCCAAAATAAAAAGGGAGAAATATTTAGAGATTATGGGGCATATTTATAAAGCAATAAATGTGACATTCAGCAAAAACTTTCACTGCAGGTGAATCAATCACTGTAATCCGAGACCAATGCACCAGGAAAATGCCCGGGCCATCAATGTTTAGTGAATATTGCATGTACTGCTGTATAATTATACCCCTATATGATATTTCTAGTACTCAGCGGTGAACCCCATTCAACTAAGTCTGTGACTTCTGAAGACAACGGATTGCACCAGAGCCATTTTAGGTATTTCAGAGCAAACTATGTGGGTTTCTTAAAGGAGAACTATGAGGCGAGTGCTTTTCACTCACCTCATAGTTCTAGCCGACCTGTAACAATGAGACTGTCACAGGTCGGCTCAGTAGATCGGGAGGTGAGCGAACACATACCGGCGTTTGCTCACTTCTCGATCCTGTCACGGCTCTCTGCCGTGACAGGGGAGGGGCTGGATTCCCCCCGCTCCGATCCTCCAGCGCTGACTGGCGGAACGGACGGGGGAGGGGGCGGGTACAGCTGGATCTGCCTCTAGATAGGCAGAGCCAGCTGTCAGTCACGCAGCTGGGCGGATCCAGACATAATTGTCGGGATCCGCTTCAGCGTCTCAGTATACCGCGAGCTGTAGCTCGCGGTATACTGAGCTTAGGGTGACGGGAGGACGCTAGTTTGTGTCCTCCCGTTACCCTAAGGAGAACTATGGGGGAAAACACTGACCCCATAGTTCTCCTTTAAGCAATTAAGGTTTTTCAGTATTTTATTTGTAAATAGGAAAAATGATTAACATTTTTTTTAACCATTTCCACATCTGATGCCTGTTAGGGCCACAAGAAACCCCAGAACTATTTACTGAGTTCAGGGCACAACAATAAAATGGTTTTGCAGAAAAGTTGTCGATTTTTCAAGCCGTATACCGTGGCGATGTTATCTGGCCATTTAAAAACTACACAGATTTTAGCAGAGTTGTTCTCCAAATATATAAATTAACTTTTGCTCTCGGCATATTCTTTGTTGGCTGGTGGGAACGAAAAGGTGGGAGTATTCTTTGAAGATAAAAACTGATTTGTTTTGTTTGAAACCTTTTTATTTAATGTAAAGGGGCCCTGCAGGGTTTATACTTAGCGCCGGGGGTCTTTTTAGAAAAGCAGCTTGGTTCCCCCCGCAATGTTCAAAGACCATTAGCCAAGAGCAGTTTATCAATTCTCTTTTATGTGCGGTACAGAGGCCTGCGCCATCACTTTTATCTTTAAACGTATGCTTCAACAGCCACATTTAGTGTCTGTTTGAGCAAACCTCTGTTTTTAACCTTAGCGGTGAGACAAGTTTTTTTTGCATGTTGGCTGGTGAGTGTGCTGGGAAACTTTTTGCTGTTGTTTGTGCAAAGGACACATGGATAGAGTTTTCAAACACTGTGTATTAAGAGCCATTTAAAGTTAAATTGTGGTCTGCAGACAAACTTGGTCTTGCAGCGGGTCCCCATCTGCACTGCGAGGGTTAACTGATCATTTTGGATGATGAATAGGGTGAAGAAGGTCCCATTCACACGGGGCTTTAGGCCGTGGCTGGTGATTCCTGCGGCAAGAACCTGCAGATTCTTGGGGCAGGAATCCCAGGTGTGTCATTACATGTCCTGCCCAAATGAATGACAGGCTGACAGCGGCCACACCAGTCAGTGGCTGACCGCATGTAATTGTTGCAGTTTGGAATAGATGATTGCCCCTGGATGCAGATAGGCACACCTGGGATTCCTGGCGCAACTATTAGTCCTGTGCCAATGTAGCCCAAGGCGAGTTACTTACCTAATCCTTGCTCCCTCAGCAGCCGGCCTTCACCTCTGCTGTCCGACACCACCAATATGTGGATGGGCTCTTAGCATCCTCATCTACAATGCAGGTCCATTGGTTCTGCATTATATGTGTTGAGATCGGAGAGATGCGACTGGTTGGACAGGGAAAAGTAGAAATTCCGGAGGACCTGTTGTGCAGCGCAGATAAAGCCTGCGGGAGTGAGGGATAAGGCAAATATATAATTTATTCTAATCCCCTTAGACTAAACGAGTGCAGTGGGGTTACTCTTTCTCCAGCCTGGACTTCAACAATAAGATAAAAATGAAAGAAGGAAGAATTAGAAAGAGTTTTTATGGCTTATTAAAAGGACCTTGTCAAGAGAACCTTATGGGGTCTGCCACTGCTGACCGCTTACATGAGAACAATAGTTTCCAGGCTGTAATGCTGATACTTTGGGCCCAATGCTTTGAGTCCTTAGTTTGGAGCAATTATGGAGATATGGAATTCTGACGCTATTTTGACACTCTTTTACAGCATGCTTGTTCCGGGTATGTCAATAAAAAGTACTGAAAAACCTACACAACCAGGCACCTAGCATTTTCAGGAGTTCATTCCAGCCAGCGGTATTAACCAATAAAAGTAAACAAGAACTAATAATTTTTTGTAAATAAGAACAATGAACTAGGTCAGGCAAAGCAGAGTGATGGCTCCTGCGTTTACATCTCCTCATGGAATTCGCACATTGCACTTGGTTATACATGCGTGAGATAACATAAAACCTGTCTGTGTGGGCTGTGAGCTGAGAAATCCGCGTGAGCCAAGCCAGAGCGCAGAAACGGCCTCCACATACCGAGCAGAGGCGTCAGGAACCCATGTCAGCGCCGACGAGATACTCGCTCATTAGAGGTTAACCCCTCATTGTCAACAGTCTAACCTCAAATATCAAAAGGTGTAATACTTTTTAATATGCCCAGATAGGGTATCACAGTTTTCACGCTGCACCATGTCACATGTTACATGTTACCTTTCACACTTCTAGTGATGTTCAGAAATTCGCTTTGTTTTTTTTTTTGCAGAATGAGTAAAGCCCCTTTCACACGGGCTGATCAGGAGGGGATCTGTGCCTGATCAGGGAAGTACGGATGTCATCGCTGTAACATCCGTGTCCATGCATTTTTTTCCCTCCCTCTTGTGTTGGAGGAAAGAACTGAAACTGCCATACCCCATGTTGGTCTATGGGGAGTCGGATGAAAACAGACATGTGTCCACTTACATCAGATTACTTCGATATGGCACGATCAGATCCAATGAGACGGAATACTGTTCCCTTTGTTTTTCCAGCCCTGGCCGGAGTTTGGGGGTAACCGTGTGTAAACAGACTCTTGTCCATTTACATACGGCTGCCCATAGAACAGCATTGGGCATCTGATCGGGTCCGCCTGAAAAACTAACATCCGAGCGGACCACCCATGTGAAAGGGGGATCAAGACTTATGCAAACTAGCACTATATTTTATTATTCTTTTCTGTTTGATTAACAACATAAAGCAAAAAAAGAAAACAAAAAAGGAAAACTAGATGAGGAAACCGTTTGCTTTTCTTTAATATATTCCAGATATACAAATAAATATCTCCTATTTATAACACATGCCTAAGGGCTCATGTGTGTCATGCTCGCTCCTAAGGATGCACCGATACCGGTTTTTCAGTATCGAGTACCGTTTTGTTTTTTTCAGTACCCGTCGATATTGAATATTGATACCGGAAGTCCCATTAAGGAAGCTGGGCAACATGTAATGACTCAAATCGCCGCCTGTCTGCCTAATTGTCCAGGAAGCCAGCTCCATGCTCCCTCGTCACCAAGTGACAAGGGAGCATGAAGCCGGGGGGGCAAGTAATTACCCCCCCGGCTTCCTGATTGGCCGAGAAGCCAACTCCATGCTCCCTGGTGACGAGGGAGCATGGGGCCAGCTTATCAGCCAATCAGGAAGCCGGGCAGCGTGTAATGACTCGCTGCCCGGCTTCCTGATACTAGAAGTTCCAGTATCGGGATAAGCATCGGGAGCATTTGCGCGAGTATGAGCACTCGCCAAACATACTCGGTATCAGTGCATCCCTACTCGCTCCTGTACAAATGGTTAATTTACATATAGCTGTTTAGTGTAGGTTCACCTAAAGCATGACAATCCCCCGGATTATATATAGAGTGGCATATTGTGTATTGTCCTGCTGAATGCTGTGTGTGACAGTGCACACCCACTTAGTAACATGACACGACACCGGCTATTTGGAAGAAGTACAATAATGACGGCTGTGTAGTCACATGACTGCCAAATAAAAGTGCAGGAAAAAAAAAAAAAGGTAAAAAAAAAAAATATCTAAAAATACTAAATGGGATTTTACTACACAAACATTATTGCCTGTATTTTATGTACAGTATTTCTGATAATCACATATACATTAAAGTAGACCTTTACCCATATCTTTGAAATGACAACAAACAACCCTCCAAAATTGTTTAGTAATGACAATCTATAAACCGATACTTATAGAGAATTGCCGGATTTTTATTCTTTACATACGTTATTTCTCTTTTCTTCCCCAGTTTTCTCACAGTGGCCATTTTAATTGATTAATTATTGATTAATAGATCCCCCTTTACTTCCTGGAACTGTGACCATGCACATCATCTCAGGGGAGGAAAATGCCTTTCCCTGAGATCACATGAGGTTGCAGATAAGATTTCCCAGCAATGTTCTGCTGATGTAACCTTCCCAGGATGCAACGCTTGGGCGCATTACATCTGTGCCAAAGAGGACCAGGAAGCGGAAAAACAATAATTGTAAGTAAAAGAAAAATATGTTTATTTAACTAATGGATGCAAGATGATTTCATATTGGTATGCAGAGCTGCATGCTGAGGTGATTTTTAGTTAAAGAGGGTAAAAGGTTCGCTTTAAGTGTTTTGCTAAAAACTCAGCAATGTGACCTAACTACTAAGATTATTTTCATTTTAAAGAACACCAACAATACCAACGATATTCAACCGGTATATAAAAAGTATAACGATTAAACCAGAGCTCACTGATTCCACTGACATTTTTTAAGTCTGTGATTAAGCCAGCAATAGAAAATTGCTATGCATCATGCTAAAGTCTTTATTTTAATTAGTGTCGGCGTAAATGGAAAATGTATTCTGTCCGTTATCTTCCCCGATGACAGAAATAGAAGGTTTTCCAGATGTATCATGCCACCACATGAATATCAACATGATAAACTTGAGTTGGATGCAAAGTAAGGACGATGCAAGACACAAGAAGAAAAAAAGAAAAAAGCCTCCAGGACTATCGTCTTCACATATTAACAAATGGCGCCTATGGGTAAAAGCCAACTGGGAGGATTTTGTAAGTTGTGTGGTGCCAGATAGGCTGCACAGGAAAGAACTCACCACAGCAGGGTTACAGGCGAGTATACTATACACTGAGTGGCCAGTTTATTATGACCACCTGACGTTTGTAGGCAAAATAGCTATAATTTTGCGCTGAAGTTGCTAGAGGGCCAGACCATTATAAATAGGGAAGCAGGTTGTTTACCACGACCGTAGAAGTGATTTTTTTTTTAAGCTATGCGGAAACAATGCGATTTAACAGCCTTTGCACGTGGGATGATTGTTGGCGCTTGGAGCCATGGAGCGAGTATAAGCAAAACAGCAGAATTCGTTAAATGTTCAAGAGCAGCTGTTGTTAAAGTGTTTAAAGACCGGACTGTCAGCCGAAAATCTGGGTCTGAACGTGCGAATTGTGGCCGTCAGCGACTAGTCAATGTTAGGGCAGAACGGAGAGTGGCAAGACTGGTACAAGACAACAGAAGGGCAACAGTGCAGTGTCAGATTCCTCGCATCACCTTTCATCATCTCGTGGAGTCACGAGGCGGCCCAACGAAGTAATCACGTGGAGTCATCTCGTGGCCCAACAAAGTACTGATGGGGTGGTCATAATAATCTGGCCACTAGTGTATGGTCCAAGGTTTGGGGACACCTCACCATCACACCTACACTATATCCCCAAACTGATGTGGACATCCCTCCAAATGATTGAGTTCAAGTGTTTCTAGCAAAGGGTACAATTGTGTCCTTCCAACCTTGTGGCAACAGTTTAGGCAACTTTTCTGTCCCAGCATGACTGTGTCCCCGAGTACAACTCTATAAAGACATGGTTTGTCCAGTTTGGAGTGAAGGAACTCAAGTACACCGCACAGAGCCCTGACCTCAACCCTACCAAACACCTATGGGATAAACTGGAATTGTGAGCAAGATCTCATCCAACATCAATACCTGACCTCACAAAAGCTATTTTGGCTGAATGGTAGCACATTTGTACAGAGGGGGGGGGGCTCCATATTTACCATATTGTTTTTACCATACTATTTTGGCAAGTGTACCCGGGTCCCAGAGACATTAAAATGCATCATCTAGAAAACAAAATACAGTAAACTCTGTTATCCAGTATTCAACTAACCAGAGCTCTCATCTAACCAGAAAAAAAAAAATCCCCTTACTGTTCTGCAGCATGTATTATCCTGGAAATGATTGTGTGCCTATTTGTCTTAATTTGTTTGAGATTACTGCATTTCAATATTAACATGAAGTCAATACAGAGTTTATGTTATGGTATGGTATAGTATGGGGTATGGCATTAGACCCATTTGTAATAGTAACTCTCAAGCAACCAGAAACTACTTTTATCTGTAATCTACCAACCCCCGTGGATGCCGGATAATGAGGAGTTTACTGTACCTTTAACCCAAAGACAACAGCATCAGTGAAACGGAAAAAGTTCAGAGTCAAAGCTGCAGAGCTAGTATACAACCCAGGAGTCTGAACACCAACTTCTATCTGAAGCTTTGCGTGCAAATATTTTGCTTTGTGACTGGATCCCGTTGACATTTTTACTTCCATATAAATGGGGCTCGTGTCAGCACATGCAAGAGGAGTAAATATATCCAGGAATGTCAAAACTATAACCAAGAATTGAAAATATGGAAGATAAAAATGCTGACCCACAGACATATCTATCTATACACAATTAACTTTCCACCCAGCAGTAGTATAAAACAATCTTGAAATTATAAAATTAAATAGCTTTGTTGGGTGTTATATTAAAGGTCCCCGGTTCCCCTTGATAGTTCCAAAACTAGAATAGTAAACATGAATGTTGTAAAGGAGGGTGGGAGAGGTAGGCACTGTAATTGGTTCCTCCTATAGTGGAAATGTCATGCTTAAGGCAACTGCCTCCCTGTTACTATGGCAGTGCCACTAGGTTAGTCTGTGCAAATTTGGGTGCAATACCTGTAAATGTCATGTAGCAATTCCACAGAAGATGGAAAGTGACTCCCATGGGATTCTGACAGCACAAATTTCCATTCAGCACACCAACACTGTCTTAGAACATCACTGCCACCTAAAAAGTCTGCACAACCCAACCTTGTTATAACGGCCATTGTAACAACTATATGGAAAGAGAGTTGGATTAAAGGTTAAGGTGGTGAGATTCTATTCCATTGTGCAGGAGCAAAGGCCCAACTTTAGCCCCCCAAAGTACATTGAAACAAATATAAAAATAATTAATAAATAAAAACTTTGGAGGCATGGATTCAGGAATTGTGCTCCATGAGAATGGAACACCTTATAGCCCAATTACACAATAGACTATCTCAGTCTGGATCATTCTCATAGGAATAAATAAACTTCAGGCTCTGTTGGCCTAAATATTTTTGCACTTTGCTTGACGGCCAATGTTGGTTCCTGGAGACCTTGGTTTCATTGACAATCTATTTCCTAATATATACACAGTAATAAGAATAAATTAAAAAAATAATAATAATAATGATATCTGTTAATTATAGAAAGTCCAAAAGAGTCTCTGCCTTCCAGTCTTGCTTGCTGTGTGTATCTCGTTTAGTTCTTGGTACAAAAACTTGCACAATGTACAACTGTTCATGCAAATATAGTGCTTACTCTACCACTATCAACTAAATTGGATTCCCAAATAGGATGGAAACCTGATGTTACAATGGCCTGTGCATTTACTATATACTGTAAAAATATACCAACTAGTACAATGTACTTTCAGTGGTGTAGAGTTTTTTAGTTTTTTTTTTATAGCTCGTTTGCCATGTCTCACACTTTATGTCTAAAGGAACTTGACCTATTTTGGCTGTGTCTAACTGGGCTGTATGACCTTCAGCTTCTGAATCAATTAAAAGAGAACTATGGCCCAATCATTTTTTGCCATAGTTCTCTTTAGGGTCACAGGGGGACCTATACTAAAGTTCGCCTGTGACCCAAAACTCAGCATATAGCTGGCTATTGCCCGGTATTGGCTGACAGTGCAGAGCCGTGCTGTCAGGATGCACCCCCGCTACCTGATTGACAGCTGTGCCCGCCCCTCTCCTCATCTGTACTTCCAGTCAGCGCTGGAGGAATGGAGAAGGAAGGGTGGAATCAGTCACCGCTCTCTGCAGGAAGATGATCGGGAACTGATCAATCAGCGGTATGTGATCGCTCAGTTCTTGATCAATAGAGCCGACGCGTGAAAGCTTCTTCTCCTTTTACATTCTTCTCCTTTTACATGTATTATAGAAAAGTTGTGTCCACCTTCCCCATACTCGTCTTTTGAAGCATATTGTTTCACAGGTCTGCAATCACAAAACAGTCAGGAGAAAAACTGCAAGATTAATTACCTCTGTAAGGTGCAGAAAGAGAACAATGAGATCTTACCAGGTCATTCATGTTGTTCTGGCTAGCTGGGTGAATTTCTTCCAGGAACTCCAAGACGTAGAAGGTGTATCTGTCCATCAGATGGACTCCAATCGCCATATCTGGTTGGTGCTAAAAGGACAAATACAAACATTTTTTGCACTATATACACCAAACTTTTGGCATGACTTTACTGTTCTTTGTCTTTAGAAAATCAATACATTTCCAACACCCCTAACTCCTTTAATATATCCAAGGAAATCAAACCCATTTTGCTAATACCACCATACATATTTTTACTTCAATTGGAGTCCTTTCGGAGCTCTGCTAAGTTCACCAAAGGTAATCCCAGATCAAACTTCTTTCATTGGTCAGATACAGACATCTCCAGACACAGGAGTTTTTGCACGTGTTATATAAAAGAGTTAAAGTAGCATCCCTTCTTTCTTAGAACACCAGGTAACAATTACTGTCTGCCACTTCCTCCCCTATGCTCCCTGTCATATACGGTCTCTCTTCCTCCCCTATTTGCTTTTGTACATGATTTCAAATGCTTCACAGAAGGCATATGTTATACACAAATAATGATTGGGGCTTCTGGATCTCAATCAGCCAAGTATGGAGCCAATACATATTTTTTTTATATATATTATAATCACAAAGATTAAAGAGAACCTGTAAACATGGATATATAAAAGCTCCCTTTAATGACTTGTTTGTAAAGGTGCAAAGTCCAGGGTTGTCATCCTGAACCTGGCTTCACTACACACTGAGTCAATGACCTGGAACAAGCATGACTCAGTGAGTAGTGAGCTCTATACCCTCCAACGCAGCAGTAGCTGAGCATACCTATGAAGTCTTTACAGGGGTAAGAGACAGTTTTATAAACATACATGTACGTTACAGATATGTACTTACAGACAGGGAATCCTCTCCGACCTGGCTGCTTGCAAGAGCCATTATGTTGGGGGAGTAGAACCTCTCATACATGGATGCTCCTTGGCAGGTATCTATTATAAACAGCAATTCGTTATACCTAGAACAAAAAGACACAAAGTTTAACATAGTCAATTTCCAAATATATGACAATGCTTTAAAGTGACATTAAAGTAAAAAATGCCCCCCCCCCCCCCCCCCCGTCATTACGCAAATC